TCACAATAAATCCAGCACAGCAATGCAAGAAAATGGACAATGCGAATGACAACAAAGTTGAATAAACCAAACCGAGATATATCAAATAAGTAAGAGCAAAGCATCGAAGTCAAATGATAACGAAGGCCGTCTTCTCGCCTCCAACAGTAATGTTAACGATTCCGCTCTCCTAGCATGGTGCTTGGCACCCAGATTGCACTCAGACAGCTCATATCGGCCTAGACTCCTATCTACAACAGGTCTTCCATGAAGAGCTTGATGACGAATGAAGACTCCGTGTGAGATAACCTGCTTCTCTCCAACCGGGTAAGCACCACATTATATCAGCTGCCTCTTCCACAGCCCCTCTGCCCAAGGAGTCCTGCCCTCCTTTGGCTATGGGTGCTTGCGGCCCGGCTATGGCTGCTGCGCCCTTGCAGCTTCTTCCTCGCGCCTCGCCGGCTTTTCTTACTCCTGGCTCGGCTCGTGCCCAGCAAGTGAGCGCTCCACTGGTGCTGCTGCCGTCCAGCCAGCCAGAATGTGTGCGAGTGAGCCTAACTTCCTTCTGTCCTGTCTGGCTGGGTGAGGCAGGCCTGGGCTGAGCGGCCTCTGTCCGAGTAGCTGCACCCAGGGCCCTTCCAGAATCTGCCTGGGGCTAAACTGTAGGTGTCCTCGGCGCCGGCATCTTTGTTGGGGCCCAGCATCTTCAACTGACCAGGCTCTGGTTAGTTGTAGATGCTGGCTGCAGCAACCAACCTCAGCATCTACAATCAACGTCGGGGCCCTCTCTTTGCGCACATCGGCCTCAAAATAGGCCGCACAGAATTTCTGGGGGCGAGCAAGCCTTCACTTAGGGCGGGCGCGGGCCAGTTTCCAACATCCTCAGGGCCCTTATGCTTAGCTCGAACACACAAGAAAGAGCTGAAGACCATATGAGAAACGACATAGCAGTTTCAACTTGCATACAAGTGGCACTGCCTTCAACTCCACTCTCTCTCTCTCTCTCTCTCTCTCTCTCTCTCTCTCTCTCTCTCTCTCTCTCTCTCTCTCTGAAACTTGTCATGTTTTGCCTCCCACCCCCTCTGTGTGTGTGTGTGTGTGTGTGTTTGTGCGACCTAGTCCTGGCTGCGGCACTCCGGGTTGCAGATGTCCGTAGAGTCTTCTGCAACAACTGAAATGAATGTGTGTAGCAGTCTTCTGTCGAGGAGTGGACTATACAGCTGACTGGGGAGACTTCTACTTTTGACTGAACCCTGCAGCGGCAATTCGACCTAAGGGCCTACCGGTTGGTCTATGTTACATTGGATGTGGGACCTTGGGAGTTCTGCAACTGGAAGTGGAACTTATAGGTGGAAATCATAGTTGCGGTGCACCTATGCGGTGCGCAATGCGCTGCGCGCCTCCCGGCAGTGCGCGCACTGATGTGCGATTCGCGCGCATTGATGCGGGATGCGCTATGCGTGGTGCGTTGCGCGACACTTCAACGCGCTGTGCGCCAGTGTGCTGGGGGGTGCGCATTGGTGCGCATGCTGCGCACATCAATTTGTATTTTTTTTTATTTTTTTTTGGGGGGGGTCATCAGGCCTCTGCCCCTTCTTCGTGTCCTTCCCGGTGCCTATGCCCCTGCTTCATGCCATCTGAGCTGCGCAATTACCACCTTCGCCTGAGCCATTTTTCCTGCGCACATACAGTCCATCAACAGCCCTTTCGTCAGCCCCTTCTGTCGCTCTTGGAGCACCCCCC